CACGAGCAGTTTCTAAAAGATGCCTATTTTTCCTTTCAGCTATACCATTTTGTTGAGGGGTAATGACACAAGAACTTTGGTGAATGATTCCATTTGGTGTCGTGCATGTGCTTTTAGGGAGAGAAATTGAGATCGTATTCGATCCGTCGGAACTCTCATCCTTGCGCACATCAGTCATCAGACTTTTGGGGTAGACTATCAGGAGACATTTGCACCCGTTGCAAAATTAAACACAATCCTTGTCCTCTTGTCCTTTGCTGCAAATCTGGATTGGAAACTACAACAACTGGATGTCAAGAATGCATTCCTCAATGGAGATTTGGAAGAAGAGGTGTACATGGACCTTCCTCCTGGATTTTACATTGATAAGTATGATGGAAAGGTGTGTAAGCTGAAGAAATCTCTCTATGGTTTAAAACAATCCCCACGTGCATGGTTTGGGCGATTTTCAAAGGCTGTTTGTAAACAAGGATATACCCAAGCTCAAACWGAYCATACAATGTTCTATAGRCACTCTCAAGGTAAGATCACCATCCTCATTGTTTATGTCGATGATATTATCGTCACAGRTGRCCATCATGAAGAAATAGAGAGACTAAAACARGCACTTGGAAAGGAGTTCGAAATAAAGGACCTRGGAACACTTCGGTATTTTMTAGGGATGGAAGTTGCAAGGAGCAGAACTGGTATATCTGTATGTCAAAGAAAATATGTACTAGACCTCTTGAAGGAAACCGGAATGCTTGGATGTAAACCATCTGATACTCCAATAAGTCTCAATCATAAGTTGGGAGAGAGCCTAGATGGGGCACCCGTTGATAAAGGGAGATATCAGCGTCTCGTTGGAAGATTAATCTATTTATCCCACACTAGGCCGGATATTGCATTTGCAGTGAGTGTTGTAAGTCAATACATGATGCTCCTACTGAAGAACAGATGGAAGCCGTGTATCATATTCTTAGATATCTTAAAGGAACTCCAGGACTTGGATTATTTTTCTGAAAGGATGATGATAGAAAGATTAAGGTGTTTACAGATGCTGATTGGGCAGGTTCTATTCAAGATAGAAGATCTACGACAGGATATTGTACCTTCGTACGGGGTAATCTTGTTACATGGAGAAGTAAGAAACAATCAGTTGTTGCAAGAAGTAGTGCTGAGGCTGAATTCAGGGCATTATCTCATGGTATTTGTGAGATAATGTGGCTGAAACTCCTTCTCCAAAAACTCAAGATCAGGTTTGATAGTTCAATTGAAGTCTATTGTGACAACAAGGCTGCAATTGCTATTGCACACAATCCAGTGCATCATGATCGTACTAAACATGTTGAGCTTGACAGGCATTTTATCAAGGAGAAGATTGAAGAGAAAATTATAAATCTGATGTATGTTCCATCATCAGATCAAGCTGCAGATATCCTAACAAAAGGACTCTTGAGACCCGTGTTTGAAAGGTTGTTGATCAAGCTGAAACTGTTCAATCTGTATAGTCCAGTGAGGGGGAGTGTTGAATTAGTTAGAAGTTAAGATTATGTGGACTTAGTTAGAAGTTGTTTTAAAGTTGTTTAGATTGTGTTTAAATTTAGCAAATAAATCTCCTTTTTTGTTAGGGAAGTTATGAGATTATTCCTAGATTTTGTTTCCTCTTGTAACCTATAAATAGTGCCTCTATTCCTCATCTTTGATCAAATCAATTTGAGAATTTATTTCTTCTCTCTTTTCTCGTGTATGTCTCTCTGGTGTCTCTATCCTTAGTTTTTAATGTGTCTCAACAGTTATCATCTCAGGTTTAGGATGTGATAGAGACATATCTGCAAGTAAGTCTATATTTGTTTACGTACATTCTATGGCTCAAATGTTTATGTGTTAAATATAGACTTAAAAGACACATATCTGCATACATATTCACATTCTATGTTATGTTTACGTACAAAAGGGTTCAAGGAAAATCCAAGAATGTGAATATGTATACACACATACGTCCGAACATATATAACTCAATCACAGATGAAAAGACATGAGATAAATACTACATTTGAATTTTTATACCTAAAACAATCAAACAGAAACAAAGGTAGGATTATTGAGCCATAGAATGAAACAGGTGAAGTTTTATGGGATGTGATTTTCTATTGCTTGACATCAAAGGGCATGCAATATAGACTGTATCGTCAAGCAGAAGAGAAAACAAGCAGAAGAGATAAACAAAGTCACTGTACTACTTTCAATATAGATAAAGATATCAATTTATCCTTTGATGAATTCAAGTGAAAAAACTGAGAATCAAATATAGACTCACTTGCAGATATGTGTCTCAGCAGTTATCATCTCCGCATGATTTAGAGGCATTCGTGTTCGATCTGATTTGCAATTTAAAATTAGTATATTAATACACTCATTTTTACTCAAAAAAAGAAGGAAAGAGAAGAAGAGGGACATTCTCTGACAACTTTTTCACTATTTTCTAATGAATAACAAAATCTGATGAAATGACAATCATGACAAGAAGAAGCAATAAATTTAAATGTCTTGAAATCTAGATTGCAAGTCATGATAATTGATATCTATCCTAAGATATTAATGTTCTATAATATTTTATGACTCTAAATTCTGCAGAATCGGTAATAGTCCAATAAAATTAGTAGAGAACTGCAGAAACTGAGCCTAGAACCCATGTTATTAAATTTAAGGGAAGAGGTTAAGGAAAAAGCAAGAACGGCATCCACTTCTACTCCTGCTTAAAACTTAAGAGTCAGCTGAAAATTATCATAGCCCAAGGATGTGTGAATGTGCAGGAAAAAAGGTTGGAGGGGCCTTAGACCTCCAATGTGTTTAAGACTGGTTCTAGAATTAATGTTTAACAAAACTGATGTAGTTATCTAACGTGTTTATTCGTTAGTTATGTAACCATGCTGTTAGTTTTTAAGTTAGTTAAAACCTCTGTTTACTCGGGTTTTAAGCTTCCGCCTACTAGTTAGCAGCATTAAGCCGTAAGCTCCCCAAGGAGTGTTGTATTAATTTAAGGCATAATATATTTCAGAGGTATTTGGGTTACATAAAATATTAATTTCGTTATAAACACTTTAGTAAAAAGTGCTTAATGACAAATCATTTTGATGTTTACTTCTATAGTCATAAAAGTGTTTCTCGGTCAACCACTGTGACCCTTTTTTCAGACCAGTTTATATATTTCAATAATAGCATTCTTATTTACTAATAAAAAAAATAGTAATACAGAAGAAAATATGTCTACAAAGTTGGAAAAGAACTTACCAATTTCTCTACTGTTAAACTTTACAACCCATTCAGAGATGACATCCTGCAATGTTCTTCCCATCTGAGTAATACACCTCTCTGTGATCTAAGATCAAAACGTGAGCCATATCAACTCTTTGTTAGCAAAACCGGTAAAGCTGCTTAATAAAAAAGTAGATGCAAATCTATACATCCTGCTCATGCTGATTATTTTCATGCGTTAGCCGTGGAATTATTGAAATGGTACGTCCAGAGATCTGCAATGCACGGCACTTTAAAGTATAAGAGAACCATCCAACTCTCGAACCATTCAACTCTCCAATTTAATCTGAACTTAATTCTAGATAATTACGAAGTAGAATGGGAAAAACAGATGAGGAACTTCATTTCAACCAGTAGTATGAGAAGAACAAGCTATAACAAGCTTCGACAAAAGCCTTTCAAAGAAGAAAAAGAAAACAAAGAACAGCACATACTGGTTTAAGGGTATCGGGATTGCACGTGGCATGAGTATCACTTCTATGTACCCTCTGGGCTTGCCAATATGCACCACAAAATGCTCTATCACATCCTAAACCTGAAAAAGGTTATTGTAAGTTTGGGCAAGAACATACTGTTCTCAATGCCAACACTACAATGTACATAAAAGCTGAAAACTAGACATACTAGGGATGGAAGAAGTCAATATGCAATACACCATCAATTCTAATGAGAACTCCAAGATTCTATCCAACACATCCCTCAAGCTAATCCATAGATATCATGCATTACAAATCCCAGTTTTGTTTAAGCTTCCTTGGAATGGAAACTTAAGCTCAGTAAATCTGTTGTAAAGAAATTTAGTAGTTCAATATTGGATGAAATGAAACGTTCAGCAACTTGAGTCGGCCTCCAACATGCTGCTACCTGATTAATTCAATCATTTTGAATTTAAGATGTTCTCATGGGCATACAACTCCTGGTACATGGAAATATATATATATACCCCTAGCTATCTTATACTTTGAAACATCCTTGAATGCTCAATGATAGGCATTTGATTTTGAAATATTTGCCCCTCTTTACAAGTCACCCCACCATTATCCACTAATGTATATTAAATCAAAAGTAATATTAATTAAGCTACAAATGATTCATTAAACTAATTACCATTACATTCATATCTGTAGTTCTTATTATTGAGAGAAAAATGAGAAAGTGGGGAAGTGTAAGTTTCATTCAATGATACTACATATTTATACAAACTCTAAGTCTAAAAATAGACTCAACTAATTCCACATGAAAAGCAACTACTCCACTAGCCATAAGAATAGTAACCTACCTAGTCGACTTGACTATACCAAAAATAACCCTAACAACTTCCTAGAAACTAGGACTTGGACCAGACAAATTCAAAAACTGAAAGAATCAAACTTGCAATTTGAGTTAACTTACAATATCTAAGGTTGATATATTCTCTCAATTCATAAAATATGAATACGTTGAACTGAACTTGAACTTGAACTAGTTTGGGCAAAGATTAAAGTATCTTACATGAAATTGAGATATTAGAATTAATTTAAAAGGCATTAATATGTTGAATAAAGTCACAAAAAATTTCTCACTTAATTTTGATTAAATATTAAAGTAATATGGAATAAAATTGATATATAAAGTTGAGCTTAATTTGGGAAATAAAACATAAGAAATCTATCATTTAGATCACCTATAATTTTAAACTAAACAAACACAAAGTTCACAGAATTACCATGCAAAACAGTTATGACCTGGAAAGTAAACATCTATGCTATCTGTACTTAAAAAATAATAATAATAAATGCTATCAATGTTGTAATATCAATTCTTGACGGAAATTCAAAAAACTTTTAAGAAAAACACAATAGTTTAGAAAAATATGTTCAGTTTAATCAATTAGTAAGAACACAACCTAACCATTCGTGCTCCTAATTATATCTCCCAAATCGTTCACACTATCAATTTAATCCTAAGATATGAAAATGCACAATTAACCTTCATCGCATAAGTAAATCCTAAGATTCGACAAGATACAATAGATATAAATGTCTTTTTAACCATATCCAATGCATCTACTAGGATACAAGAAGCGATACCAATGCAGTCAATGTCATTTTCCTACAAATTTTGTTAAATTGTAAAGCAAAGCATAAGTAGCTTTCTTAATATACTCTATCAGGTATTCTAAATGTATTTCATTTTATATAATGTATATCATTACAAATAATTAATTAATGAACTACCCTATTTGTATAAAATGCTTTGTTTATAATAAATAATCCCCTTTTTGATTTACTTAAACACAATTCTTCCAAGGGGTGAGAAAAACCATGTGGCATTTCCAAGAACACTATTGCCATAACCTTGGTGATTCTTTACATCAGATTACAATCTCTATGCGCTAATGAGAGAGACATAAAGAATCTAATTACTAATTAGTAATGTCGAAAGCACCAAACTGAAATAACCCTCTCCGACAGCAAATGTGGGCAGTCTTATGCTTTCATAAACTGATAAACATCATAGTTCCAAAAAGAATATAAAGGATTATTTAGTCTGTTGTTCTTTGTTGGGCTGTTTTTCTTCTCATTCGCTTCCTTTGGGAGTTCATATCTTGAACATTTCCTTCCTTTTTATATATCAACAAAAAGTTAATTTTTGTTCAAAAAGAAAAAAAAAAGAGAGAATATAAAGGAATAATGCATACATACAATGTTGAGGTATCCCAATATCAAATCGAGAAGGCATCATTCCTCCACATCCATGACATTGTAGATGAACCGTGTTTGGATTACAGCGAAATCCAGCATGTTCAGTACCTAGAAAATGTAAATCAACTTTAAATTGGTATGACTAGAATTTTGGAAAAAGGTAAAATTATTATATTTCTGCTATCTATCGAATAAAATACAAGGTCTTCTTATATACCAGAAAGACCACGTACAAATAAGTAAAAAATTAACACATAAATATTAACTTAAATATAAACCACTAATATTTACAATAAATATAAAAGAAATACAACACTCCTCCCTCTGGATATGGTTTGAAGATTTATTCCATAGCTAGCTTGTAAATTAGTTTCTCAAATTGCCATTTTGAAAGACCTTTAGTTATGCATATCAATCGTCTGTTCTATTGTTAGAAGATAAAAGATGCATATTACACTAATACCAATAAAATGTTTGTCAATTTCAATATGCTTTGTACTATTATGTACAACTAGATCATGAGTTATGGTGATGGTAGCATTATTGTCGCAGTAAACTCGTATAGGTGTCGTATGAGAGAATTTCAATTCTTATAGTATCATTTGCATCAATATAAATGTAGAAACTAAGGTTTGAGAGAACTATATTTTTTTTATTCTCATTACTGAAGTCTATATATATATATATAGACAAATATACAAGGTTGACCTAATCTTATAAGGAGAAGGTAAAGGACTAATATACTACATTACTACAGTATCTAAAATATACTAATATATATACTCTAACACTCCCCTCAAGTTGGTGTATATATGTTAATCATACCCAACTTGTTAGAGAGAGAATATATCCATGCTCCATTTAATGCTTTAGTGAAGATATCTCCTAACTGTTCTCCAGTCTTCACATATCCTATAGCCACCAATCCTTGCTGTATTTTCTCACGTACATAATGACAATCAACTTCAATGTGTTTGGTTCGTTCATGAAATACTGGATTAGATGCAATATGGAGAGCTGCTTGATTATCACACCAAAGTTTCATTGGAGTGGTGATGCCAAATCCCAATTCAGTTAGAAGCTGATATATCCATATTAATTCACACACTGACTATGTCATAGCTCTGTATTCTGATTCAGCACTCGAACGCGACACGGTTAAATTATAGTTTATTTTATTTTAAAGGTTTCCTATTTTATTTAGGTTGGGGCTTTATTGTTCTAATAGGTAAGTATTTCCATATCCTAATAGGCAAGAACTTCTTTTTAGTTTCTTCCTTTTGACTGCTATTTATATAGCCTTGTATCAATCATTTGTAGTCATCGTTGCCGCCGTCGTCCGCTGCTGTTACGTCGGGATTGGAGTTCGGGATTTGCCGTGGTTGATTTCTATTTCGCTTCCCGTCGTTACCCTTCATTGCACAACGCCGTCCGCCACCGC